GTGTGTGTGTGTGTGCGTGTTTCTTGTGTAAGCTGAAAAACGCGAAAAATTATTGAAATAGCTAATGCTCCAAGGGATAGGGGATCTCGTAGTCGAGCAGGCTCGACTAGAGCTTTCTTACTTGTTCACTTATAACATATTTAGAAAATTAACATCAATAATATTAATATTTTTCACCTTTTCTAGATCATGTTTATCTTCGTCTTCCTTTTAAATTTCTGGTTTCGCTTATATCGTCCTATCTTTACTGAGGCGCGATTGATGGACACTTAATCATAGCAATCAATCGCTTCACTTGAAAATTTCATTGTTTTGAAGAGTTTTGTCTTTTTTGAAGACAAAAACAACAAGAGTTGTTGTTTAATCTGCTGCTCTTTCGGACATGAAAACTTTTTAAAGTTGTATAAATTTTGCTCCGAGCTTCTGATGTGTTTTCTTCAAGAATACTAGCAGCTAGCAGCGCAGAACGCTCTCAATTAATCACTATTTATATAAAGCTCAGAAAAGATCTTGCAAGATCAGAAGCAAATTTTATCTGCACTTGAGTGCCAGCTTCTTAATGGAGCTTCCTTATGGGGAATTTAATTTCGCCTTGAGAGAGAGAGATAGACTTGAAATTTTTCCTAGGTCCGTGTATGTCACGCGTATATCGAGTTTTTCTCTATATATCGATAAATACTCCCGATATTTTATCATCGATTAAAAACCTTATCGAAAGCTAGTTATTTAATTATATCTCCTACACCTTTCGAGCTAGAGCTTCCAAATTTAAATGTAGACTTATGTGTATTTTATATAATTTCGATTTTTGTTGTAATTTACACCCCACCCTTATATCCACTCCCTCACCCTCACCTTTGTAAAAGGCGTATTTCAAGTACTAGACACTTGTGCTTTGGAATGTACATACATTTAAACATTATGATTATGTTCTCAAAGCTTCATTGAGATTGTACGTCTATAAATTAAATTATTCAAAAAATAAATTCTTATAATGTTGCCCACACTGCAGCTCAGCCCCCAAACCCAGTCGCTGCTTGCTGCGCAGTTAGCAGATCGCGTTCTAATACGTGTGCCGAAAAGAAGTGCAGTGATTAGAATATTAGATTAGAAGGTTCAGGGTATCTCCTAGTCGAGCAGTCAGTCGACTCAGCTCGTCGCCCTGATCAAGAATATACTATAACTTTATGGAGCCTGCCACGCCTCCTTCTGCCTGTTACAAACTTTTAACAAAACCATTATACTCTGATTTCCCATTTCAATGGGTTCAGGCACTAACCAGGGTATACAAATTTGTGTACTCTTTGTATGCTATTTAATTATTGACTCTCAGACTCGCAGAAAAGTATTTGGAACTCGCTAAAAAATATTTTGGTTGCTGCAGAACACTTGACGGATCACTGATTATGCGCCCGCCAAACTTCCAATCGGATACCAGAGCATACACTGAAAATGTGACGTCACAACAGAGGTGTTACCATGAAAATATCATAATCTTTAATAGTGACTATTGAGCAAATCAAATCTAGGGTTTATTTATACTTTTCATTGTTATCTTTTTATTGAATAAGTCATTTTTGAATGACCTATGAAGGGGTGAGTGTGTTTGCCTGCATTTATACATATCGAACTAATATAACAAATTAATTATATATGTAATTAAATACTACAATTTTACATATGTATTTTTTTTTCTTGAGTGACATTTATATCACCCAGTGAAAACGCCGGGTGGGCTCAGTGACTAATTTTCTGAATGTATGTTTGGCGAATTTTATGATTTATTGGGTAACAGTTCAATGGGCGGGTGTTGGGGCGTAGGCGCGGCCATATTTTTCAATTGGACTCTGGACGATGCCTCGAGCGTAACTTGCCTAGCTGCTGCTGCCATATAGCTGCCATAATATCTTCTTAAGATCTGTGGATCGACGCTATTAAGCGACATGGACATGGTGGACATGGTCGATAGCTCTGGACTAGCTGTGGTTCCAGGTGGGCACTCCTCCAAGGAATTGGAATCATGCTGGCTGCTGCTTGCCCTGGAGCTGCCCAAAGGCGGTGAAACGGAAACGGAAAAGTGGAGAGGGTCCTGCTGTTCGGGTTCCGGTTGCTGGCCCTGTTCCGCAATGCCCGCATCTAACAGCGACTGTCTGGTATCGCTAAGGTACGAATTATTGTCATCAGTCGAGAGCAAGCGCTGCCCTCCTTCAGACTGTCGCCCATCTCCATCTCCCTCTACATCTCCATCACCATCCCCATCCACATCAATGTCTGCATCAACATCCGCATCAACTGCACCTGCACCTGCACATGTACCTAAAGCTGGATTTGTATTTAGACTCAGATTCAGATTCGAATTCGGATTTGGTTGCTCAGCAACCAACTCTCGATGGAATAGTTGCTGTTTCTTTACTTGCACTTTTGTTATAACCGTGTGTTGCGTTGAAGAATCCTCTCCCTCCACTATATCCACAATGTGAACATCAGGTGCCAATAGCGATGCAACGTCGAACTGACGTTTCCGCGTCTGCGAATACAAGTTTGCAATTGTCGTAGTCGTCGTCGAATTGATATACGCAATATGCTGATGCTGATGCTGATTTAAATGCGGATGGTGATGCGGTAGAGAATGTGTATGTGAATTTGGATTTTGATTTGGATGCTGATGATGCTGATGGTTGGCTAGCTGATAGCCAGGCTCCAGCCTTTGCTCACTTGCAGCCTGGCTGGAGTAGGGGCTACGTCCAAAGAATTGGCCAATGTATTGCTGATGATAGGGGTAATTCAAAGCAGCCAACTGCATGGACGCTTGCGCTGCAGGGGGCGGAGTGGTCAGGTCCAATGGCGGAGGACTAGGAGAGTCTGTGCTGGCATCGTCAATAGATAAGCCCATGTGCCGACGCACTTTGCGTTGCGCCTTGCGACGTCGAAAGTCACCTTTGCGAAAGTCATCCATGTTAGCGGGATGGATAGCCCAGTAGTGGCCCTTGCCATTTGCACTCCGACCCGACTTGATGAAGCAATCGTTTAGCGATAGATTATGCCGTATGGAGTTGCGCCAGCCGGGACCCCGTGTCCGGAAGTACGGATAGTTATCCAATATATATTGATAAATGTCTGATAGCACTAGCTTCATCTCTGCCGAACTGAGGATAGCCATTGCAATCAATCCAATGTAGCTATGCTGCGGCTTCGGCTCCTCTGGATGGAATATGCGTTGTGACTGCGGGAAAAGTGAAATTGTCGAGAGCGTGGCTAGTCTATCACCAGCGCTCCCCGCGACACCATGACTGCTATACGGATGTAGCCACGAGGACAGCCCGGCCGTGCTTCCGGCTGTCGCGTACGGCGGACACCTCAGCCGCTCAATGTTCAAGGCATAGTTGTAAAGTTGCAGTCGATATTGCTCCAATGCCATGGACGTCGCTTGTGGAGCCGTTTGTCGTGTAGGAGTCACAAAATGCGACTTGAGACTCGAATCTTGTGGCACGGCGCAGGGCGAAGAAGAGCGCGAATGAGCCAGCTCTTCGTTTGACATCTGTTCTGGGGGAAACTATTTTAGAACTTCTTTTGTTCAGTTTGGCAACATTTTCCAGGTGTGTTTTCCTCCTGATAAGACAGAAAAAAAAGTTAATCAAGTAAAAAAGCTCTAGTCGAGACTGCTCGACTACGAGATCACCTGAACTCGAGCAACTTGTATTTCAATAATTGTTCGCTTCATATTTGCTTATACAAGCAATGTGGGCTTAGTATGGAAACTTAATTTGTTAATAACTTTTCTTGAGGATGGACTTTCTTCATGAAACTTTTATATTGTTTTGTTGCATTAAATGTGCATTTGCCAAGCACAAGTCCCTAAAATTTGCCATACCGCCTTTAAAAATATATAAGGGGGTAAATATTGGGGTGCGGGTAAATTATAACAAAACCGAAATTCTATAAAATACAAATTTGGCGACACTAGCTCTAAAGATGTAGGAGATAAAATTAGATGACAGATTTTCGATAAAGTTTTTGATCGAAAACAAAATAACGGGGCAAGTTATCGA